CACTTTCTATGTTTTATATACCATTTAACATTATTAAAATATCATCTAATCAACTTTTCTTCCTTTCATTATTTAAATAAGAAGAGTTTAAACTACATATGAAAAGAAGATATTTTGATATTTCTGTGGCATTGTCCACAGACACTGAAAAAAATTGTTTAAAAACTGAAAATACTCTTCTCCTCGTTTAATGTAACCATGTCGGCTGATACATGCATTGACAACATATTTATATTCCTTTTCGTATTACTTTTTTTTTCTCGTGTATTCCTTTTTGGCTTAGTGCCTTCAAAATACAAGAGAAAAGACATATTGTGAAGCATGAGATGACGCCTAATAAATGTCTAACAATCAATAATTTTTCATAAGCGTTTTAAGTTCAATAAAGCTGCAACTAATTTTTAGGGCCAAGGTGGTTTACCAATCAAAATCTAGAGTAAAATGAAAATTCTGGGATAAAATTTATAAAAAGAATTTGCATTGTTTTGTTATCAAATGCCATTGCCTTCTAAAAAGTCCCTTTCTTTACATAAATCAGACTGACTTATATAATAAAATATTGATTTAAATTGTTAAATAATACAAAGCTTGCTCTGTTAAGGCAGGCTTCCCTAGACTAGGGTTTGTTTAGGTTACACAGCAAATTAATGACAAGACCCATTTTTTTGTTGCTGACATGTTGTTGTTTGAATGTGTCACATTCTTTTACAATCAGCTACATGGTCAGCATGAGGCTTTATTCATACTCTATTTCTACAGACTACATTTTAGTGCCGTTCTTTGGTTTTGATTATGTATATTAAAAATTAGAATTAATGTAAAAATAAATATAATAGAATTAAAACTTTTATACACAAAGAATTAGTCTTTGAGGAAATTGTCCGTAACTGTAAACTTGGTACGAAAATATTGAGTACAAAAATGCAGATGGCAAGGGAGAAATATGTTTTCCAATAACTAAAGTGGCAAGTACAACATTTTTCTTTATTTTGTAGCAAAAACATTATAATATATGTCTAAACAAATTGAATATTAGGTTAAGTCCTACGATGACTACACCAAATTTAACTTTATCAATAATTTCATTTCAGAAACTCCCAAGAGTTACCTTCCCTTTTTACTCGATGTCACTTCCTGCTACTTTCGTTTTCAACTTACAGCAGTGTTGACAATAGTACTTTTAGTTTTCCATCCAATTCAGCAGAAATATATTGTATTTTCATAAGGCCAAAACATTGCTATCTGGAGCTCTGCATATTTCCAACATTTTCTTAATTTGGATATGAAAAAAGCCCTCGACCAGACGGGCTACCAGCTTGGAATTTTCACTCGACCACCCGCAAATTTACTAGACTCGGTCGTCGGTCGAGTGGGTTAAGTCGAAGACTGATCAAATGCCTATAGGTGTGATAGAGGACATTGCCAACCCTTAAACTAATATATCACCTTAAGTCGTCCACTTAGCTCAATAGGAAGAGCATTGGACTGTGACCCATGTTCGATTCCCAGAAGGTGCAGGTCAGATTCTTTGTGATTGATCATGAAATCTTTTCTATGGTCATTCGCACTGTATGTCTGCTCTGGCATGTACAGAAATAATAAGTTTAAGCAACTAGTACTGGTAAATTGCTTGACAGCCTGCCCAGGAATGATGCGGTGGCTGAACTGTGCTCTGGTAAATTCTATGTGGCTTACTGTCATGATCCTGAGTGAAAACTACCAACACCACCACCAGTATATCACCTCTCAGCTATGCCCCAGAGTTCTGTTTGACAGTTCATGGGTTGACAAAATCCACTATCATGAAGACAGCTGTATGTAATTTATAATATGAGCCGCGTCACAACAAAAACCAACATAATGGGTTTGCGACCAGCATGGATCCAGACCAGCCTGCGCATCTGCGCAGTCTGATCAGGATCCATGTTGTTCGCTTACAAACCCTATAGCAAGTAGAGAAACTGATAGAGAACAGCATGGATCCTGATCAGACTGGCGGATGCGCAGGCTGGTCTGGATCCATGCTGGTCGTAAACGCACTATGTTGGTTTTGTCACGACGCGGCTCATATATTACACACAAGCAACTCAAAGACTACTTACAAAAGTAATACCAGTGGCAGTTTTACTTTCCAATAACATCGCTACAAAAAGCTACCTAAATAATCATGACTATATCATGAATGGCAAAGAGAAAATTTAAATTACGAGAATTTAAAATACGTAAAACAAGAGAAGAAAATGTTTGAGTTTGAATGTTTTTCCTGCATAAGTTTAGTTAAATTGTATCCTGAAGCCATTTATTTTAACTGCAAAAACAACTGTTTTTCAATAATTAAGAAATCAAAAAAGAATCAGAGATTTATTAACATATATTATACAAATTATTATTAATTCAATTATAACAATTTGTCATTATTTTGTGTACTGTCTCTTATTGGCTGATTTGCGTTTATGTCATAAGTTCGCAAGAAACATGTGTTGACAGCCAAAAGACATGTTTACACAGAGTGCTATTCTTACAGACAAGAGTAAAATGTCTTTCCAAAGAAAATTAATTTCACTGACAGCAGATATTATTGAAAATTAAAAGATGATATCAGAAAAAAGCTATTTAGTAAAAATTCTAACAGTATATAAATTTTTTTTTATTTTTTCTATCATATTTTATTAGACATGATTAAAATATTCTTTAAATTATAGTGTCACAGTAAAATTAGATATTTCAAAATGTAAAACACCTATTCTGTTAAAGCTAGTGATATATGATATATAACAATTAAAGACTTTTTTTTTTCTTTTCTAAAGTTAATTACTGCAGTTCAATTTCTAATCATAGCAATATTTACAAAATGCATTAATAAATTAGGTAAAGGAAACGATGAATATTTTTGGATGAATTTATTAACATTTTCCTGGCTTTTATACAATCTCCTTTATGTTATCCTGGACGTCTGATCGTGTCCGACTGCAGATCAAAAACAGAAAATATTACTAAGTACCTAGAATTGTAGGCTAATGTTTAGTTTAAAATAAAAATATTTTGGACCTACATTTTGGAAAGTGACCTGGTTAAAGTTATATTAACCTTAAACCATGATCCTCTGTAAATATTTATAACCTATTTCAAGTCCGAAAAACTATATGTCAACCTTAACATAGTTCTATAATTGTATAACATAAACATTTACAGAACAGTTAACTTTACTTAATATGTATTTTCCTGCTTTTGTTTCATCATAAATGCCATTCGAATAAGACCCTATATAATTACATGATTATGTCAAAATCAAAACAACGCTTCTTTAAGTATAGGTTACAGTTTAATAGGACCTATTTACAAAATTAAATTGGTCGGGGGCGGCATGGCCACGCGGCCAATTTAATTTTTTAAATACGTAGATAATAAATTTTAACCAACTTAGTGTTTTAAATTATTTTCATAAACAGTCTATTTACTAGACTGATTCATAGTTGCTGATTTACCAAAGTAAATGTGTTATGGTATATTTGAAATACTGCAATACTTTTGGACAAAAAATAATTTCAAACACTAAGTGTGTACTGCATAATTATATACACTCAAAATTTATCACTTTGAAAAGAGAAATATTTTAAACATGAGAAGAATTTCTTAAGAATTATTCCGACGTTTAGTTTTTTATGAGTTAAATAGAAGGAAATAATGCACTTGTGCATGGAGAATGTACAACATTTAAAATATCTTGAAAATAATTGACAATTTGTATGTAATTTGAATTATTATAGTCCATCCTCATTTTATAAAATCAGCTATGCAAAAACAATAATATTAAGTTTCTTTGTTTGACTGGATTTAACTTTGCACCAACACAGTTTAGGTCATATGGCGACTTTCTAGCTTTACAGGTGCCCTTCCGTGCATTATTTCAGGCACTTAAGTAGAACCACAGACATTCCGCTAGCTGGATAGCTTCCTCACATGACAGAAACCAAAGTCTATGTTGGGTAAGTGGTAAATAGAATTTAAGTTACACGACTGTCACTATAATATATTGTGGTATCAAACATGCTCAATTATGCATTATTGATTTAATTTTACTAAGGCACTAGTCAATCATACCCACACCATCCCGACTCCCAATTCCAGGGAGCCGAGGTTACAAATGACTAATGCATTAGCAAAAGACCTTCTCAGTAATATCCATGAAATCTTATCAAAATATTGTTTAACATTACTAAAAGGAAAACAACAACTGACTTTAATTTTTTCCTTCTAGAAATTAAGGAAAAACATGAAAAAGTTTTCAACAACATGTGATATGACATAACAAGCAAAATAGAAAATAGCTTACAGGTAAACTCCAATAATCTGCTTTATTCAAACCAAGAGTTATGCGTTAGAAGTTTCTTTATTTGCTGAATTTAATTTAAAACACATCAGCACTGTTATGATCATATGGTGACTTTCCAGCCTTACTGGAGGAAGACCTCAGGTGCCCCTTTGTATATTATTTCGGGTACAAGCTGGTGCCCAAGTAGAACCACTAACCTTTGGTAAGCTAGCTGGATACCTTACTCACATGAAAGAATCCAAGCCACTGACTGGATTCATAACCCACAGCAGTGAGGGTCAAGCGATATGAAGTCAACAACATTCACCACTCAAAGAACTTAAGATGTTTTCTAAACCCTATTATATAACTTTCTCATTCTTAAATATATATTTCAAACATTTTTTTTTTTAAATTACAAACATCTATTACTGTTAGCTTCACTACTAATTAGCTACATTACTAATTTCTTTATTGCTAACAGTATATTTATCATTAAATTATACTGTTCTTTATTTTTTCTTTATCTTGTTTACTGTGTATAAGTGATATTTTTCACCGACCTTTTGGGCTCGTGAAATATGACTGTGCACGCATTAAACAAGACCAAAAATACTCATAAGAACAGTAAAATCATGATAATTACTTTTGTGTCACATCAGTATTGTATTTTTGTTACTATCCGTACCTGTTTCATCCCGGCTTATCTGTGAATAAAAGTTCATCAAAGTGTTGTGATCAGCCGATTCTTGTGCCAATTTCCGAGTTATCTTTGTCGACAAAGGCGGGATTGATTTCTACAATGACACAAAAAGAAATATTTTACGGAAACGAAATTAAAGTCGAAGTAACCCATTCACTTACTTAGATCTGTCAGTATGCCAGCCACCTTGCCAACTTCTTTGCTCTTAAAACGTAAGAAATAAATATTATATCGCATTAAAACAAAATATCATTTCATACCAATTATAAACATAGGAGGACGTTAGCCCTTTACAAGGATGACAATATATTCCTTGAAAGGTGTAAGTTTTGTATACATATATTAACAAAATAAGCATCTATTATATTATTTTTCTTTCAATAAATTTCTATAATTCTTGAACATTTCCCCAAGTTAAATACATTGTAGTAATGTTACATTATTAAAGCTCTGGTAGAAAATAAATGGTTGCTACATCTTATATAATTATAATAAATTTTGTAATACAAATATCAGACAAAATTTGATTTTAAAGACTTTTAAATTATCAATTTAATTTAACTAAGAATACAGAAAAGTCAGTTAGAAATATTAAAATATCCATTTAGGATATAAATGTACCATTGTTTGGTTCAAACCCTACAAATTTCATGTGATTACATAATAAAGAAGACATTTTTACACATTGTGTTCAACAACCATTAAGTACACTTGAATGGTTCAACTACCTAAAAGCACCTAAATACATAATTAAATTCATTCTGTTATCTACCCTTAAGATTTATTAAATCCTGTTAATCTAAAATAGATCAGAACATGACAATTACTCTTCGCTTATAAGTAAATTGCTTTAATCCAATCTCAGTATGAAAACAGTACAACAAAAATTATTCATTTTGACAAACAAAAATTTCAGTTAACTACATAAAAATGATTTCTTGTCAAATCCCCCCCCCCCCAAAAAACAACAAATGAACACAGCACTATTATTATTATGAAACAGTATGTGCATTGTTTCCTAATATTATACCCACTGCATATATTATCTATAAACAGCTCATTTTATAATTTATACAATAAATATATTTATCTATTATCCAGACAATACAATGTGAAGCTTAGCTATATTCTATTTTTAGTAACAAGTGAAACTTTTATGGACTTTCCAGAGTGAAAATGAAACAAATGAAAGGATGCCAAAATTGATTAAAAAAAAAAATCTAAAAATAAATAACTTAAAAAAAACGAAATCCTTTGTTGCAGACATATATTTGATATTATTCAAATGGAACAATTTCACACTTCCATCTATATGCATTTTGTTTTTCATTCAATTAATTCAAATTCCACTCAATATAACAAAATCCCCTTCTCAATTATCAAGTACATTAATTTCACACCAGTCAGAAACCAGGAAACCATTTAAGTAGTGGAGTCAAATATGAACAACCTGGAATGAATTCGAAAAACATGTGTCGTATTACAGGGAATTCATAACATGTGTTCAACTTCTACTTCCTTATCACATTTTATCATCCTCAAAAGTCGGCAAGAAATATTTAGTTTAACTTAATACATGTATAAACCTATTGAAGTGGCAGTTTCGATGTTTTATTATAAACATTTAACCAAAACTTTTTCTTCTTTTTTTAAATTCTGATAATTTCATTCTAGTATGCAATGGACTTTTATTTCAGAAACATGGCTGATCATTGAATATAAAAAGCAATTTTACTATAATAAATAGTAAATTAAAATTTGTATGTTGCAGTCATTGAATTTAGCACTGGCCCGGTGGCCCATGGCCAGTGAAAATTAGTTCGGGCCAGTGTAAATTTTAAGAAAATTTAGTTAAATATATAGTAGAATAAATTCAAAACGTGAACTCGAGCCAGTAAATTCAAAATCTTAAATTCAATGACTTGATGTTATGTCAGGAGCATGATTATTTGTAAATTTTCATGATAATTTTCATGACATCATCTCGACTGAATGTCAGGGCAGAAAAATTTATGCTAATAATTAACTAGCACTATATTTTGTAATACAAGATAAGTATATATCGGCAAAATTGACTATGTTCAATTCTATAAACAATTTTTTTTAACATGAAAAAATGTCTTTATTTAAAAAGACTTAAAAAAAACAACACAACAACAAATATAAGAATGTGCTACAATTTATTTATTCAACTTGAGCACTTACTAATACAATATCAAACATTTGTGTAAATTTAATGCTGGACCTGTCATACAAAGTTAAATTATAAACAATCATGATACACAAAATATAAATCTGAAAAGAACATTTCATACATAAATTAACAACAGCATAATAATTCAACAAATCAAATTATCTACAGACACAGTGCCAAATCAGCAGAAAACATGCAATATATTCTGGTTGAATTCACACCATACCTAAATAAAGAATCATCTTTAATAAACCATAAAAAGGATATTTTTCAGAAAAATAATATTCAGTATTAAATAAGTAATTAACCGACTGTACAAATGTACTATTAACACATGCCAGATAATAGATATATATAAAATATAATTATTCAAATAGATCTAGATTACTGCCTACTGTAGATGTTCTTGGCAAAAAAAAATATCAACAAAACTGTTCATTTAAAAATTATACAAAAAATAAATACAACAGCTTTTTATCAAACCTGAGTTTCTTATCTGCCAAATCTACACAAATGGCCCAGTCGTAAATTGATATACTGTTTCGTACAACGCTGTGCGATGTTTGTACATGTACCTTTAACTGCTGAGCGAGTACATGTTTATCGGGCCCTGGAAACGCATATGTAAAACACCGAAGACACCCATAGCAAAATAAATCAATACACAATAGAAAATATGCATAAATATACACGCACAAACCCTACATGCAGTTCAAATATGTTATTTATTGTCTAAATATGCAGACCATATGCAGACATAAATTTATCAATCAAAACGAAGGAAGATATAAATTTATTTGCCTATGTTTCACCCCGCTGCATGCTTGACTACACTCCTTCGATATACAGCCTATATTTTTGATAAAGTTGAACAAAGTTTAAATCATTCAAATTGATAATTATTCAATATATGAATTTAAATCAACAAAGAAATAGTTTACCTGTCGATCCATTGTCCAATATTATGAAACTAAGCGTTAACTATGCAGATATTTGTAAATTAATTGGCACACATCTCCGCGTTGTTTGGAGTGCCTCAAAATAATGGCGGTCACATTGACAAGGTTTTCGCGAGGTGTGACGTCATCAAAGCAATCTTCTTAATGCGCTAGAACACCACAAAATGGGCAATTTCTTAAGGCTATTTTAGGAAAAATGTCTTAGAAAATGTACTTACCCGTTTATAAGCACCTGTATAAACATTGTCTGTGTGTTATAAACCTCCTGGACGGCAAATAACTGTATAGTATCAATATATAATAGCTGTGCAATGTAAACCCAAAGCAGGTTTAACTTTTGTCTTTGTCAGCCAATTATGTACTGATAAATAATGGTAGTATTTGACTAAAGAGACAAAGTTTGCATGTGCATGTAAATGTCAAAGCGGGGTTCTAGCGACGTTTAGTGCATGTTGAAAATAAAGTCGTATCCAAATATTGTAAAATATCGGATGAGCAGATGAACTTTATAAATATCGCTGGTCTTGCCAGTTGCAATGTATTGCAGTGGCGTTGATTATAATAATAGACCTACATATTTCTATCCTGTTCTAAGAAATTAAAACGGTGACCTTTTTTTTTATCTTATGAAGCATTTAAAATGTTTAACTGGAAATATGTGTATTTGTAATTGCATGTCTTAAATCTATTGAAAATGCTGTTAATACGTGTACACAGGTATAAACGAAACATAAATAAGATATAGTTTGAACATTCATTTTATTTCCATAAGATAAGCAGTTTTTGAAGACACAGTTCTAAGCGTCAATAATCATTTAATGTGTATTATTACGATGAGTTTCCAAGAAAAAGTACAATTAAATTAGTAAGGGTCATTATTTTAGAGTTTTTTTTGTTTTTCGTCACCTGTTACACATCGAAAACGAAAGTAGGTAATATTGCCAAGTAGATATGCCATACAAAAAACACCATTGGTGCCAAGAAATGATTGGCATTTTTATCAACACACGTTTGCTATAACATTGATAAAATATCTATTCTCAGTCATTTCGTGGGGATATTTAAGTAGGTCGTTCCCTAGCAACACATTTTCAACAACAGTTCTCTTTTTATTAGTAGTGGTTTCATTAAAGAGGAATTAACATGCATTCGCAATATGACTTTTTTAATAATCAAACAAATTCCTTTACTTTTCATTGAAAACAGCCGGTCTCATTGGTTTTCTCAAGATGAGGAGCCTAAAATGAGATCTGTTAGCCTTTATCCCTGACCTTTTATTGACATGAATTTGTTTGAAATAATACAAAAACAAACATCCATTCGTGTATCTTTGTCGGAGTTTTTTGACTAAGAACATGCCATTTACCTTTAAAAAATCTCTGTCAATGACAATATTTTGTTCATGTGAGATGCATGGATGCCAAGGAGCCCTAACATCACTATGCTTTTTTGCGATAGTTAACGATATCTCAGAAAATATCTCTTAATATTATACATCACGTATTAAGATTACGTTGTAAATATATTTATAATTATTTCCAACAGTGCGTTTTTATATATAATTACATAACTCTAACTAGGAAACCCCAGAAGTACCTACTGTACCAATTCAATTACATGTGCATATTCTTTTAGTTTACATAAACTCAATTTATTAAACTTATCAGCTTTTATAAAAATTACATCTTAAGTTTGTTTCCCTGTAATCCTTTTAAATGAAATGTACAATTTATCCTGAATAGACATGAAACTGAAATTGCACAATATAGGGAATTCGAAAAAATGTAACCTAATTACAACTATTGAAATGAAAGAAAGCCAACATCACTTTATTATATTATCCATTATAATTATTTTGATGAAACGAACTTTAAAAGTATATTCTATTGATTCTAAGTTACTAATACATGCTAAAAGGTGAGCAAAGGTCCACCTATAGAATCGCTTATGAATGTAAATAGACTAGGATTATTCACGCCTTTAATCAACAAAGTTACATGATCTTATAATGACGTACATTGCATTCTCTTGTCTTTTTAAGTACGAGTAAAACAAACGCCCACAGAAAATATTTCAAAAGTACACGACACTAAAATGTCTATAAAGCATTCAAGTTATGGGCAACCAAAACATTTAAGTTACGAACAACTTAAAGCTATTTATTTCTTTATTATGAAATCATAATGACTAACTTTTGTTTTAGAAAAAAAGAACAAAAGGAAAACAATCTTTTGAAGTACATTTTTTTCACAAGCCACTTAAGATACACACCAGATAAGTGTTTTTCTATCTCAATTATTCAAACGTAACCAAACATAAGAATAGTCTTTTCTTATGTGATGTGTTTGCGTCATTTCAGGTAAGCCAACAAACAATTCCTTGTCTTAACAAATTGTAGATAAGTGTAATATATGCTAGAAGGTCATAATTTAAATTGAAATAATAGCAGTACATAACATATAGCTTGATCTTAGGCGTTGCACGACCGTTCAATAACAATATAATTTGCAACAATTTTCTTACATAATGTTTGTTCTTTCCATTGTATATGAAGAAATATAATATTTCAAGGATCTTCATGAGCTGACAATATTGCTCTTCTCCGGTTTCAGTAACCCACCCAGTCTTTTTAATATCCACCACTCAATCTTTCCCTTGTAACGTATGTCAAAAATGCATTGTAATTAAAAGCAGGACATTGGATAGAATAAAATATATTTTACAGTAAACATTTTTAAACATAAGACACTGCTTTGGTTTAAGATATAGGGTTGAGCATGATATCCCCTAAATTCAAATAATAAAAAATACGAAAACATAGTTTGTAATCACCATGTCTGACGGTTGCTTTGGTATTATTGTCTTTTAACATGTCTACAAAATATAAAGAGGATAAAGCAACCAACATACAGTGAACAATGCAATGTTCATTGTGATTTTGATTAAAAATTTGGTTTAAAACTTTCCATCTTATACATGGTACTTGGAATTGCAAATTGCATAATTATGTTGAATATATATTTCATTTACAACTTTTTAATTTTAAGAATATATCGTTATCAATACAATGAAACAATACATTGAATTATATTTCTACAGATAGAATGTACATAATTATGTATACAAATGACATTTCAAGAATCAGTTTGCCAAAAAACGAGCAAGTTTTTAATTCATTAGAAATGCAAACATGAGTTTTACAACATTTAAATGATTGCTTTAGAGCATGTTAGATGCATGCTACCTGAAGAAAGAAGCAGTAACTGTGGAATGATTTGTTATAAAAGTAACAAAATGTAAACAAAGTAGTATTTTGACTTCCATACAAAATACTAAATCACTATAACTATACTAATTGCCAAAAAGTAACAGAAGAAAAAGATGGTTCAGGAAACTGGCCAATGAGTAGCTTTTTGGACACTATAAAAAGCTTTTTAGAAATGAAAAAGGCTTTTTAGAAATAAATATAAAAGCATTAATTGGGCATAATGGGCCTTTAAGTATTTACGTGTAAAACATTTACAAAACATATGTTACCATATCGTATTTTACTTAAAATACATTGCATTAAGTATACATATTGAAGTATTCATACATTTAAATCTTTATGTTGTCATTTATTGGTTATCAACATAATGATAGTTATTTAAAAATTATTTTTAAGATTTAAACATTTTCAAAGCAAAATTGCTTTATACAAAACGTGCCCGATCATTTTTTGTGTAAATAGCATGTCATAAGCCCATCAAAAACAATGTACGATCTTTCCTATTTCTATATAAAGCACCATTTTTGTTGGACCTTGCTTAATCCGGTGGTAGTAGACGTTAAAGCCTGCAACATTTTTTTTCGGTGTTGAGCGACATTGGATGGTTTCATTTTTAAACATTTTAGACATACAATCCAACACCCGGACAAAACTGAACACTTTAGCACAAACCATATAGCAATCGCAAAGCAAAGCAAACCAAAATCAAACGGTTAAACAACTGAAAACGAACATGGGAAATATAATTATAGAATGTTGGTAATATTACAAAAGTATCTTATTCATGTATATATTTTTGCTTGAGCTTTAATAATCCTTATTCTGTTATCTTTTCAGACATTATTATACTTGTAAATACATAATTGCACGGTGGTGATGATGAATGGTACTCGTTTAAAAAAAGTTGGAAATTTTGTATTTATAGCGAAATTATGAACTTTGATAACACGTGATTTTATGAATATTAAAATCTATACAATCTTTTCAACGAAACCATTTCAAAATACGAACAGGATATCCTTGTTTAACAATCCTTTGAAAATAGAAAACACTCACCAACACATCCTGTCACTGCCGATCATATCTTGTTGTATTTTAAATGAAATTCATCACAGCTGTGTAGATATATAGAAACTTGTTTCTTTTCACAACAGATATTGTCATATTTTAGTGTTTTCTTTTTAATTTATGCAAGATTTCCAATACTGTAAATGAGAAACAAAACGACAGCTTAATGAGTCATTTAGTAAAGTCCTATGTTTTGAAACAAATTAATTTTATCATTTCTTAGAATGAAATGATTTTTGTTAACTTGTTCGAATCTGAAACATTGAAAATTTTGAAATTGGCCTATGATAAGCAAAGAAAGATTTATTTAATTATGTTTATTTCATGTTAAAATTTCGAAACTGATTGTGACACCATACTGATGTCAAATCACCCCATATCTGTGCTAGATTGCAAATGGCGTTTGTCTGGAGATATTCTTGATAATCTAGTCTTCATGTCATTTTAATATTATTCTTATAACGTAGTTTAGGAGGATAGTTTTCATCTGTGATGTTTTGGAAATGACAGCAATCTGATTTGTTAAGTTTTTTTTTCTATAT